CCATCCCATCTTCATCTCCTCCAGTTTCTGGTCCATGATGCCAACTAACCCGGGACCATACCCCGCCCTCTGCTTCCTTGCCACATCAATATAAACAGACTAAATTCCCCCTGTCACTTTGCTCTTCTCGAAGCACAAGCCCTTTCTACACATTTTGATGTCATAGCCATTACTGAAACTTTCCTCTCACCTGATATCTCTGACTCCCACCTCTCTCTCTCCGATTTCAATTTTTTCAGGCTTGACCGAATTGGAAAGCAGGGTGGCGGTGTTGGTCTGTACGTCAGATCTCACCTTAAATTTAGCTTCCTAGCTACTTCAAATCCAGTTTTCGATAACACGCCTGAATTCATCCTAGGTGAAATAAAGTCCGACAACACCAAGCTTTTGATAGCGGCGGTTTACAGACGTGCTTCTGCTTGCTCTCCCACACATTTTTTCAACTGCTTGGCCACTTACCTCCCTCTGTACGGAAATGTCATCATTACCGGTGACTTTAACGCGGACCTGGGTTCCAGCTCCCTGTCAGACGCTCGAGCTTTGAGATCTCTCGTCGACCTGCACAACCTCCACTTCGTATCCACTGCTCCCACACATCACTGTCTTGATACAAATCCCCCTTCCCATACTACTCTTGACCTCTTCATAGTGAAAGACCCAAATGCTATCCAGGCATTTGGAAAGTCGGATACTCCATTTATTGCTGGCCATGATTTCATCTTGCTCACCTATCGCTTCGCTTCTAACAAGCATATCACCAGAGTCATTAGGTCCCGCGGTTTAAATCGGGTGGACGAAGCAGCCTTAAATGGGATCCTCAGCGGCCTTCTCTCGTGTCTGGTCGACGAATCTTCAACACGACTGCAGCACTCTTTTGACCTGTCGATCGAAGCCGACGCGCATTCCCTTGACAACTTGGTGCACTCTTTCACTGAAGTCCTCATAAAATCCTTTAACGAGGTAGCCCCTCTCAGGTGCATCAAGTTGTCTTCTAGGCGTAAACCCTGGGTGACTCCGAGCATTCTTGCCCTTATGAAAAAGCGTGACGCTGCCTATAAACTGGCATCCTCCTCCCGCTCGGGCAGTGACGTCGCTGGGTATCGAAGACTACGCAACGATGTCTCAAATGCCCTCGACACTGCAAAAAATTCGTGCATTTCAGGCAGACTGTCTTCCGCAGCCTCCAGCAAGGCCAGATGGAGAGAGTTACGAAACTTGGGAGTCACAAGGCGCGCTCTTCCATCCCCGTTTCAATTTTTTTCCCCAGCCGTGCTAAACACCCACTTTGCCAACATAGTCAACTCGTCCCCTCCATTGACACGTGACTTTTTGGACTCTCTTTTAGCGAGTCCCCCAAACGCTCCTCACGTCCACTCCCCATTCAATTTTCGTGAGGTCACTTGCCGGGAAGTCTTGGATGCACTAAACTCGTCCACATCCAGAACATTCGGTCCTGATGGTTTGTCTGTCAAGATGCTTAAACTCGTCTCCTCTTCTTGTCTCTCATCTCTCACGCATCTTGTCAACAAATCATTACTGTGCGGCGTCTTCCCGACCTCCTGGAAACAGTCTCTCATCACCCCTCTTGCTAAAGTACCTTCGCCCGCTCTTTTATCGGACATCAGACCGATAGCAAGGTTATCTGAGGTATCAAAGGTGCTTGAGAGGCTCGTTCATTTACAACTCTCGTCTTACCTGGACCGCCGCAAGCTGCGTGATCCACGGCAGGCGGGTTTCGTGCGGTTTCACAGAACCCAGACTGCTCTCCTGGGTGTCCTGGATGACGTCCGCAGGGCTATTGAGGAGCGTAAAATTACAATCCTCGTCCTTCTGGATTTCTCCAGGGCTTTCGACGTTATCCCCCATGGTCGTCTGATGGTCAAGCTCAGGGACCTATGCCTGTCTGACACTGTCTTGGGATGGTTCTTCAGCTATCTGACCGACAGGTTTCAGGCCGTTATGGGGGAGGATGGCAGGGTGTCGGATTGGCTCAGGGTTGCTACCGGAGTACCACAGGGTAGTATTCTGGGACCATTACTATTTGCAATCTTTATCTCGGACCTGCCCTCTGTTCTCTCCTTCATGAACTACATGCTTTACGCCGACGACACGCAGGTCTATCTTCACTGTCATCTCGGCATCCTTGCGGAGGCTTTGGGGAGGGTGCAGGTTGATGTGCAGGCTATAGTGGATTGGGCACTAGGAAACGGTATCTCCCTTAACCTCACCAAGACCAAGGTCATGATACTGGGCAGCGAACAGTACGTTAGGACTATCAACTTGAATGACATCGTGAAGATCACCATCAATGAGGTTCCACTCGACTATGTTACTAGTGCTCGTAATCTGGGTGTGACACTTACTCCCACGTTAAACTGGTCCAAACATGTGAGAAGCGTGACGAGGAGGGTATACAGCTGTCTGGCTTCACTCCGTTTCCACAGGAAATCTCTCTCGACTACCCTCAGAAAAGTTCTCGTCGAGCAACTCGTTTTCCCACATTTCGATTACCTCTCAGTGGTTTGTATTCAGCTTGATGGAGAGCGCTCGTCTAAGTTTCAAGTTGCACAAAACGCCTGCGTACGCTTCGTAATAGGATGGATCCCTTTTATACCCTCTCTATCCTTAAACAGCCACATTACGCACCATAAACTAGCCCTGGGCTGGCTATCCCTAACCCCAAATAGGTATAGAGCCCTTGCCGTTCTGGCCTACTCTGTTGTGTCCAGAAAATCGCCGCACTACCTGGCTAGAAACCTGTCTGTCCTGCTCGATGGCGTCATTATCCGGCGCTCGGGTCGCCGCCCGCCATCGGCGTTTGAATACAAGGCCCCTCGAACTGAGGCATGGAACCATTCCTTTGCTATCCTTGCTCAGAGAATACTAAACTCACTGAGCGTGACCCTGTTCTCCATCGATCGGATCCCTGACTTCAAGGTTTGGACCCGTGATCTATTCTTAAACTACGAGTCTGGAGCATGGATTGAGAGGGCGACTCGCGAAAAGTTAATGCCAGTGCCGGCACTGTCCGATTACACTCGCATACCAAACAGAGTCAATCTAGTCGCGTTCTCCCAAAATTACCCATCGTCCCACACTTACCCCGCTATCGACCTATGGTTCATGAAATAGCTAATTGAACGGTTATTTTCTGGCCAAACGCACGTCGATCCACCTTTATACCTCTCCTCTTTTCAGACCGCCCTTCTGTAAAACAAGTGCCGTTCGCGTCTTCACTACTCTTGCTACTTTTACTATTTTTTACTACTTTTAATATTTTGTTGTTCTTATTATTTTTATTATTCTCTATTATTTTTATTGTCTTTATTATTTTAATATTATTTTTTATCTTTTATTATTGTTAATTTTGTTGTTTTATCTGATAACTCATTTACATTGTTCTTTATATATTTTATTTTACTATATTTCACATATTTTATTCTATTTTTAGTTTTATATATATACTCTTAGTGCTTACTGTTAACGCCATTGGAAATTCGCTGCTCACCGTATATACTACTCATGCATTTTCACGTAATTCATCTTCTTCATATAGTTAAATGCGTCACTATTTATCCTTGCATCTCCTCTTTTGTCATGTTTAAATTTTTGTTATTATTTTGTTATGTACATTTCCAAACTGCCAGACGGGGTTCCACCTGGCGCAATAAACGAACTAATCTAAATCTAATCTCGAGAGAGAGAGAGAGAGAGAGGCGTACTTTTGTTACGCCCTGTACATCAACAATATATCTTTAGATTGGAAACGAATTTTTGAATGAATGATTCATTCATTCCAAAGATTGTTTGAATTCTTGATAATAAATTTGATATCATACTAGCTTCTAAATAAAACTACATTATGTGAATACATTGCAGGTACAGGTAACGGGATGGCACCTTCGTAAATTAATATGTTAAGTTGTTTTTTAAATAATTAGTTGAAATTTTTTAGAACATACACTAAATGCTTTTTGATTGTGAGACTAGCTCATAAATCAAGTTATGAAGAAATTTGTTGAAATGTTCAATATCTATTCTATTCAAATGTTACTTAGCTCAATCATATGAAGCTCCATATCGATATAATATCATAAATATTATTATATAAAGTATGGGGTAAAGTGTCGATAAAGATATATTAGTTATAACAAGTTCTTTGTGGACTACTTAGTCTAAGTTTAGCTTGATACAAGAGCAGATGTACCTTCCTTGCGTTCTATTTTTTAATAAAATTATTTGAATATATTGATAACTGTTGGATATGTGATATGGTATGTGTGATGGCCCCACTGTGAATGAGTCAAGGTGTACAAATGTACATCTGAAGTAATTGAATGAAATGAAACTCTTCGTTTTGTATATTCATTTGCTTTCTTCATTTCACCTACCCACATTACTTCTGATAATAATAAAGTATAATAATTGATATTGAATTTCATATCCTAATAATCTAAGAAAATAAAATATGATTGCATTAGTTCCTTTTTTGCTTTAAGTAATCACTCTGGTTATGTTATTGGTAGTTTACTTTCTATCAACCAATTATCAACACACTTTTCAGGAGAAACAAGACCCATATATAAGGACCACAGGTACTGAGTTAAATTGCATCCTATCCAAAATATGGATTTTTGACAACATAATTAGTTTCTTGTTTCTTATATACTTTATAGTATTTTCCTTTCATGTTACCATTTCAATAAATTATTTGTGGGGAGTTTTAATTTAAGTACCATCTAAATGCCTATTTTATAATAATACTTAACATTCATTATTTATAACTTTCAATTTATAAATCATTATTTTAAACATTGTTCGTTTTTATGTATTTAATTAAATGAACAAAAAGTCTTCATAAAATATCACTTACTTAGTAATTTCATAATAAATTTTGAAGTCAAATTAAAGAAACATTTGGTAGATCTTATTATATAAAATCAATCTATTTTGTTTTTTACCAAGTATATAATATAAAAAGAGATTTTCTTTGAGCATACCAAGACAATGAAGTTGAGGATCACCCATATATATTCGATAGCAGATAACATAAGAATCAGAACCTTGTCTACGACTTAATTTATAAGCAGGTGTTATTCTTGATACTGAGAGTAACGATTTTAACAAAATCCCCATTCTGTTATACACTGTATACGTAATCCTAAGAGCAGGATCACTATGTTCAGGCATTATACCAAGGGTCCAAGTTTCAAGAACCATACTATCTCCTTCAACAGTTCTAAGTGATATTTCTATACATAGAGGAACGGGAGAATTAATTATTTCTTCACATAAAGAACGTTTTGCTTCCATCAAAACTTCTGGCAAATCTTCAATTGCAAGGTTAAACTGAAAGCAAAAAATAATATATTACATTATTTACTATTAGCAAAAATGATTTATCATGTTCCACATAGACATAGTTCTTAAAGTCACAATAACAATAATAATAATAACAGATTTTATTAGATATTTCATATAATAAATTTAAAATAAAGAGTTGAGATACCCAATCTGTTCCAGATGAATTTGGTTTACACTTAGTAATTATTTTATCACCAGATCTTGATTGTACAACTATCTGAGCAACTTTTAATGCTAAAAATCGAGTAAATTTTTCTAGATCTCTTCTATCTTGTAAGCTCAATTTGAAAGAAGACATGTCCTCAGACTTTAGATATAATATTTAGATGCTTTATTATAATGATAAATATGTTTTCAATATAAATTAATATTCAATTCTTCGGCAGAGATCAAATAGTAATATTAAAAAAAGAGTATACTCTGCATAGAAAAGTTCAGTTTACTAATATTACTTGCATTTAACATTAAAGACAAACAGTTTGCAAGTATGGAATATAAGTGGCTTAAATCCTGGTCTATTATTTGAATAGTGAAAAGCATTGTATGATAACTTATTATTTGAAACTATCAACGCCATCAATCGTAGGTTGAGAGATTTTCACAAGCCAAACCATGTACTTTATGTCTTATAATTTTCAGATTAATATTAATATAAGTTAAAAATTTTAAGATCTGAAGTGTGTTCTTTAATGTCTCCAGCAGGGTTGGCCCGATTCTTACAACCTTTTCCCTAGCTTGTTTCGGGGCCCTCAATTTTGCTGCCAAAGCAGGAGTAAAATCATAAACCCTGAAAAAGCTGTGGAGAGCGTTTTGAGAACACTGTTGTTTTTTCAACAGGGAATCGGCCAGTCAGTGACCTCCCTTACCCTAGCCTGCAAAGTGTAATGGACAGTAAAAATAAAAAATACCATTCGAAACATCCCTAATTGAACCCTCCAAAAATGCTTATTATTTTAATTGAACCCCTTAAGTTGTCCCAAAAAAAATTAAAAACTATGATAATTTTTTCGTTTTTTGTAACTGCGATATCTTTAGTAATACTTAATATTTTTGTAAAAGAAACAAGGCAAAAAATTGAACCTTTGCTCGTTTTAATTGCACCCCTCTCACTTTTTCAAAATTATTAATATATATGTCAAAAACAACAATCTAACTTTATTGTATGTTCTTTTCAAATAGATTATTGGGTTATTGGGTTATTTGGAAAGAACATACAATAAAGTTAGATTGTTGTTTTTGACATATATATTAATAATTTTGAAAAAGTGAGAGGGGTGCAATTAAAACGAGCAAAGGTTCAATTTTTTGCCTTGTTTCTTTTGCAAAAATATTAAGTATTACTAAAGATATCGCAGTTGCAAAAAACGAAAAAATCATCATAGTTTTTAATTTTTTTTGGGACAACTGAAGGGGTTCAATTAAAATATTGAGCATTTTTGGAGGGTTCAATTAGAGATGTTTCGAATGGTATTTTTTTTTCACTGTCCATTACACTTTGCAGGCTAAAATTTCAAAAAAACCACCATCTTTGAAGCAACATAACTCCGGTTCTAATGCATCAAATAAGACGGGCGGGACTTCAAATTAAAGCTCTTGAAAAGAAGAAGAGAATCCCGAAAATTCCATTCAAAAATATTGAAAATTGACAAATTTATATGGCTTCAAAGATGACCATGAAATCGGCCTCATATCCACTTTGATACCTCACGGGAACAGAGTATATATATATGTATATTTGGTATTGGACTATTTTTTTTTTAAAGAACAAGAGTAGACGAATCCAGCAAGATGTCGCACGTCAAAAAAAATTAAAAACTCGCGGAGCTATGATTTTTCAAAAATAGGCCAAAAAAGGTCTTTATAGGGTACTACTATACCGGCAGTAACGCCGACCAGTTACCATGCGTTAGCGCGCGTCGATAACTCGAGTCACCACTAGATGGCGATAGATACCCTCTAAGGCACTTTGGGGGACTTAGGCTGGAGAATTCTTATACATTGCGCATCGTCTCCTGTATGTAATCTCTATAGCCCAGAGCATCTTGGATATAGTTACATAAATGATATAAATGTGATACGACTTCATAAAAATCAAATTTTTTGTAGCCTTACGGATCCTCATCACTGGCTTGAAAGTATTTTTGGAATTGGAACTCGGATCTGAACTGCTGTTATTTTGGTGGAATGATTTTTAGGGACCCCAAAGGGATTTATTCAATGTAAACACTATTCCGTAAATTGATAATCACTTTCATTGTTAGTTATCTTTTCAACTTTTCCGTTGACTGCACTTATCTTTTATAATATTATAAGAATCCTTAGGGATTAATATATACATAGTTTATTCATGAATATGATGTCCTATTTTTTGAGATAAAAATTGATAAAATGAATCTCATTTTTGGTTGATCTCTCATAAGAGATCATGTTAAATTTCTGATATTCAGAAGGTTTGTTCTCAAAATTTTACGCGTTAACCTGACCTGAAATTGTATCAGAAGACTCCATATATTTTTAATAACGACCTTACAAAGTTTTGTAAAAATCTTCCATGTTTAAGTTTACTGATGAGTAGACTGAGCCGATTCCAGGGATGACAATCCGATGAGGCTACAAAAAATTTCATTTTCATGAAGTTGTATATCATCTATATCGTTTATACAACTATGCCCAAGATTCTCAGTCGGCAGTCAGCCATTGTATTTCTCGTTCCGGTTCCAATGTTTGTTTATATTTTCAAAATTCTTTCGGCTTTTTGAGTCACGTTTGGCATTTCAAATAGTAGTAGGTACGTAATTTTCATAGTGCGACTGAAAAATCGTTATTAGAGGAACTAGCAAGTTTGAAGAAAAAATGTAAGACAAATAAAATTATAAAATAAATCAGTACTTATTGTAGGTGCTGGAGGTTCGGGCTGTCCATCGTCTTTATATTTAGCTAGTGTAAGTATTGCTCACATAAGTATTTTTAATTACGATGACATAAAACTCAAAATATTTATCAAAAATTGTGAAAATTAAACGTTTAGAATTAATAAATTGTGTTGTTATTTTCAGTAAATACTCTTTATGCCTCAACACATCCTGAGTATTCAGCATATTTATATTTAGTAACACCAATATCACTAGTTGCCTTGAACCCCATTGGTTTTGTTTTTCTGGAAGTGGCTAAGCACACCCTGTCGAAAAATTCCATGTGGATTTCCATATGGATGTCCATGTGGAATTGTATGGAGTTGGATGGAATTTCATGCAAAATTTCCATGGACAATGTGGGCATGGATTTTCTTTAGAAATGCACCCGGATTTTTTAAAATTCACGTGGGATTTGAAAATTGTGGGAAAGAATGCGTTCAACGTGGATTTTTTAAAGGTATTGGAAGGAAAAAAAATGATGACTTTTTATGAAACAAAATTGACTTTTTATGAAATTTTTATCTAGAAATGAAAAATATCAATCGCCGAAAAATACATTTTTATACAATCACTTCCAATGCATATTAGGTATAGCGGAAACATATTTTTCTGAACCGAATGACATATATACACAAAGTTTGTTGATATTTTTTGTTTCTACTACATCTTCTGTCACTGCTATACTTATTACTTTCTTAATACAAGTTAATTCTTCGCAGATTGTATTTTGAATTTCAACTTCTACTTTTTTATAAACAGTATATTCTTCTCTATTACCGACATCTACCAAAAATTGTTGTAATTGAACGAAAGTTCCATCGATTAGTTGGGCAAATGAATTATCAGATCTGACATTCGGTTTTGTGCTCGATTTAAATAAACATTTGTCTTTCACCATTTTAGTAAAAGCTTGCACGTCATATATAGTACGTTGCAAGCGAGCAAGTATATTTTCATCAACTGGAACGGGCAATCCAAAATATCTATAAACGACTTTTTCGGTTTTTTCAACCTCTCTATTTCGCAAGTAGTCCACGTAATTTATAATCGGCGAATCTTCCTTCAATTTCACGTGTTTTTCTACTTTTAGAATACTTCGATTGAATGACAAGTTTCTGCATACTTGATTGACTACTCCTTTAGCAGCTTTTATACTTTGCTTTATTCTTCCATTGCCCAATTCAAAGTTGTAGCCATAATGAGCAAACAATGGACCCCAGTCAATAACACTCTGCACTAAATGAATAAGCTGATGTACGTTAAATGACATAGCATCTGCACCATAGTGAAATTGGGTTAAAGCGACAAACCTTTTTAACAGATTGTGTGCCCTATATAATTCAGCAAGTGCTATATTATCTTTCAATAGCAAATAATAGGCTTCCACAAATAAAGACCAATGCTGAAGATACTGCCCAAAAATAGGTTCTAATTTTGCAATAGTTGATAGTAATGGAATGCTATAGTAAAGAATCCAATTGGACCATTCTGATGATTTCCAATAATATCGATCATAAATTGATCGTGATAACCTAACCAATTGCGTAGGCACTTTGAATGCTTTGATGTAACTGTCAATAAGTTTCATGTGCTCTGGACCAATCGAATAACTCTTGTCATGAGTAGTAAACCAATATTCGTTAAACTGTTTTCCGACCCCTAAGTCACCACAATGCATTGGATCTGGTACGAATCCATCTATAATATCAAATTTATCCAAGTATATCAACGGAGTGGCTTTTTTAATACCCATGACACTTTTTCCTGTATTTACTGCAGCCACCATATGTTCAAGCGTCTCTTCGGGCGTTCTTCTTTCGGGAATTTCATCCAAAAGAGGATATTTCATAGCATATCCAGTTTTATGAATGATTCGCTCACCTTTATGTAGACACCATGGGCAGCCATAATATGCATTAAACTGCATAGATCCCTGCATTGGCGGCCTTGCTACTGCATCGACGCAACAGCATAATGCATAAGGATATATAATCTTTATACCATCACTAAACTGACAATCTAAACCATGTAGTGTCAAATCATTGACGAAGTTCACAAATGGATGAAGAAAGTATGTCATTTCTGGTTTGTCACGGCCAAACCACAGGGCAGTTGTAATTGTTTTTCGACGCTCATCTACTGGTACTTCATTAACTACTACTTGAATAGGCCATACAGATGTTTTGGAGCTTTTAAAAACTGGTGAGCCATCACTGTTGAAAGTGAAGGTTACATAACTCTTTTTTCGATCATCTGGCAGTGATGCAACGAATTCTTTATACTTTTTCCCGTCATGAATGTCCTTGAAATTTGTTAATTCTTGTAGATGTCTAGAGTTCATAACTGTTTTATAATAACTTTCGTTTTGCTCGAGTGCATGTTTCAATTCCCATGTTATATCCAACATTACAAAGAAATCAATGTAAGACGGATCATTTACAGCAACATCCTCTTCACACACGTCAGAAAACATTGTTTTAGTATTTTTTCTGTCGAAACGACCAAGATAGATTTTGCACGTTGGACAAGTTGCATGATACTGATTGGTGTCATCACTAGTAGGGTAAAATAACTAATCTATTCGATAGCGTGTGTCAGGTAGAATATCGTCAACAAAGAAAGAATTAATTAATTTAAAGAGATCAGTAATCCCTGAGTTGGGTAAAGAATAGGTTTTGCTATATTCCAACAATCCCAAAACCATCTCTATTTTGCTAACAGCTAATGGTGTATCCAAAGTTTGATTATCATGCTCATTTTTTATCATATCATCAAGATTTCTAATACGAATTCTATTTCTTCTTTCTGCAACATCATCATCGAAAAATACTTCCTCGCAATCATCTTCATCTTCAGA